ATATAATTCTTCATAAATGTGTTCAATTTGTGACAGTTCCAACATAAGTGAAGAAGTTATGGGCCAAAAATGAAAAAAAAAAAAAAAAAAAAAAAACCTCGTGCTCCCAACACCCCTCAAAACGCGCGTGGGATTGCGGCTTTCTGGTAGGTTCGCTTTGGTGGCAGCAATAGCGATATCGTCAGTTGTCATCACCGTGTCCCCTACACCTCTCCTCGCCCCCTCGCCCCCTCGCATCCAGGATTCTGTTTAGCGCTTCATCATCGAATCAAGAACTGGTAAGCAAAGTATCATCCCCAATATTAACCAATCTTTTCTTTTTTCCTTCCTCTTTTCTATTGCAAATATGAGAGGCCCACAAAGTTTTTTTTTTTTTTTTGATGTTTAAGGTCATACCCACAAAGTTTATTATACCATTGTTGGCATTAATCTGTTTGATATTTATTCTGTAATATGGGTTCTTGATTTCAGAGGGATTAATGATTAAAAGTTATCATTTTTGTACTTTCTCAGTTCTTATTCTTTCTGGGTTTTTTACAATATTCTTGTTTTGGTGGGATTTGAACTACTAATACATTGAGTGTTCAATTTGAAATTTGTTTGTGGAATGCTGCAAATTCAGATTATTATTTAATTCTTGTGGAGAACATGTTTTTGGTGTGGTTTGATTTTTCTGTCCTAATGTACATTTGTACTATCCCATTGTCTGATCGTTTCTTTTTCCTGATTTCCCTCTTCTGGGTATCCCTTTTCTCATGTGGAATCATGAGAACTGTTTTGTTCCTCACCTAAAGATTACTTGAATAGAGGGGCTTTTTACTTGTGGGAACTGTTGGGTCGTTTGTCAATTCTATAAGTTTATTTCTTTGATGTTAGTCCCACACATTTTAGCTTTTTTGACAAAAAGTTGAAAAAATCGGCTTCATGCTTGCATCGTTTGACTTTCATTGTTCCTTAGAATCGAAGCTAGTTAAGCTTTTTTCGCTTTGAGGTGGGTGTTGTGTATGTATGTAGTACATTCATTATATGATGGCCCCAAGGGGAAGACCCATATTTTTTATCTGAAAATAAGAGCTCATTATCTTGTATTCAGGCAGATCTTGGTGTACTCACAACATAAGTATCAACACAAGATTAGCTTACTAAAATTGCATTGGATCGTGGAATTTAGGTACAAGTATAATTATTTAGCTGTGGCATTGTATTGGTTTTGAGATAAGACTAATGTAGATTAACAAATTGTGCAAGCAAGAAAAATCAGACTGTACTCTGGTTGGATGTTAGAAGCTTCCAGAATTGCTGGAATTTGTTTTGTTTCTATGTAAGTATTGATGTGAGGCAGGGACCACTGCGTGATTATTGACCTCAAGATCATTGCAAGGGTAAGGCTCCCCAAGATGATAATGTCTATCACCTCTTTCTGACATTTCTTATCTCAGCTCTTCCTTTGAAAGAAAAGACATTATAAAGTGTTAGATGAGAAAGATGGTATCTTTATTACCAAGCTACCTTAACCAATCAGCTGCTAAGATTTTATTGTTTTCCAATTAGGTGCCTTGATTCTAGATTTATTTTGGTGGAATTCAAGAGACAATGTACCCAGGTGGTTATACTGCTGAAGTGACAAGCCTATCTCCAAAAGCTACTGAGAAAGATGTTCATGAGTTTTTTGCTTACTGCGGTGCAATTGAGCATGTTGAAATTATCAGGTACCATCTGTTGACTCAGCTTCTGGTTTATGAAATTGAATATACACTTCAATTGATCACCAAACCAAGGTGGTGGTTTCGCCATGATTTAGTTTAGATATAGTGCCTTATGTAGACTCATTGGATGTTTTATATACTTTTACTTTTGGAGGAGTCAAAAGCTTTGTACTTTATCTAATTTCATATCTTGTTTTTCTGGTCAGGAATTAATTTCTTCTTAGATGCTTCTGCTTAATCTTGATTATGTGGGAAATCAATCTATCAGAGTATAACTTTGAAATTTGAATGTTATTTAAAGTAAATTTGGATGACCAGTTCTTTGCCTTTAATAATCATCTCTTTCACTCAGATCACTTGGAGCCAAAAAGTAATAATTTTTTTTGCTTTTCAATTCTTTCTTCCAACAAACTCCCCAACTAAAATAGAAACAATGGAAAAATATCCTTGTCAGTTGCTCTTGTAAGTATTTTGCCTGATTTTTGTCCAGCTTCTGTGATTGTGGGTTCTTTTCAGCTTTTTATTCCAAAATTTGATAAAAAAAATTAACTTCCTGGCAAGTGCTGAGCCCTTTTCTTTCTTAATCATATGCTTCTTGTACTAGGACAAATTTTTATGCCATTGTCAAGCTGTCTATACTTATTTACTTCTCTTCAATTCAATAAAACCTCTTCTGTAAGCATTTTTATTTTGCATCTTCTTCAATAAGAAACATAAAAAGTTGAATTAAAACATAATTGCACCTTTGACCTTCATTATTCTCCAGTTCTAAGAGATGAGTCCAATTGAAATACTGAGACTGGTGTAACAAAGTTTTATAATTCTATGTAAAAAGGTCATCTAATCTATTGAAATTACATGAAGTTCAAGTTTTGACGAATTAAGTTTGGTTTTTTTTTTTTTTTTTTTATTCTGGAGAACAGATGTGGGGAGGATGCATGTACTGCTTATGTAACATTTAAAGATGCCTATGCACTTGAAACTGCTATCTTACTCAGTGTAAGTTGTCATTCATACTCTTGTAATGGAGGAAATAACTAAGATAATTCATCTTTGCAACTTACCAAATGGTTAAGATAACTTAAAGAAAGGCTGAATTCTTAAGTTAATTTCTGTAACTAGACTTTAGTGTAACTAGAAAGATAAACTTGGGTTTTTGCCATCTCATGTGTCCAAAAATAATCTCTGTGGTCTTACAGGAACAGATAAATGTGTAAACTGAACTTCCTTTTATAGTCTATTGAGATAGAAATCTTCCCTGATCACAATATTGCAATGCTGTTAATGAACATTAACACTTTGACATTCTAGAGTTCAGTTGGTAATGTATAAAATGAACTTCCTTTCATATTGGAATTAAATAGAATTCCTCTATCAACTCCATATTTCAAGGCTGTGAATGAATGTTAACACTTTTAACATTCCAGCACTCTAATGGCTACCGCATTGCTCATTAGTCCTAGTTTTGACATCTCAGGGAGCTACGATAGTTGATCAATCAGTGTGCATATCACGCTGGGGATCATACATAGATGATTCTTATCCTTGGGATGCTCCTTCATGGAAGATTCAAGAGGATAGTAACTCAATGGTATGCCTTTATTTCTTTTAGTATAGTGGGAGAAGCAAGTCAGTTGCATTTTTTGCTACACAAACTCTATCACATTACATGCAATTATCTTCTGTTACTTATTGGAGTCCTCAACACCAAACTTTCAGTGTGATAATATGAATTCAATATTTGACTCATGTTGCTTAACTAACTGTATGTTTTTGGAGCGTAAGTATGGTCCGTAAGTATGGTCTGCAGTCATGTAAATACAAATTTCCAATTTAATTTGTTGGTATGTTTTGGATTTGTCAAGTATCAAAATCTGGAGAAAGACTAAGAGTGGGGTAGTTGAGGATTTATGTAATTGTTTTCTTGGCATTTCGCATCCTTGATATCTGACAACTTTTTGTCCTGTATTATGATTTAGCATATAAAATGATAATGTTATGGCTCTAGCTATTCTAGTTGCACTCTAATGCTTTTAATTTTCTTGAGCCAAACCATCCCTAATGTCAGCAGATTGCCCATGCGAACCAATTTGCTTCTACACCTGGAGAAGCAGTCACAGCAGCTCAGGAAGTTGTTAAGACCATGATGGCCAAGGGATATGTGCTGGGCAAAGATGCTTTATTCAAGGCCAAAGCTTTTGATGAGTCCCATCAAGTTTCAGCTACTGCAGCAGCTAAGGTTGCCGAACTCAGCAGCAGAATTGGGCTTACAGATAAAATCAACACTGGAATGGAAACCGTTAAATTCGTGGATGAGAAATTCCATGTCTCAGATATCACCAAATCAGTTGCATATGCCACTGGCACAGCAGCTGTGATTGCAGCAACCGTTACCGGTAAAGCTGCCAAAACAGCCGCTACTGCTGTAGTCAACAGCAGCTACTTTGCCAAGGGATCTCTCTGGGTTTCTGACGTTTTGTCCCATGCAGCCAAAGCGGCAGCTGATCTGGCTACTCATGAAAGTAAACAAGCAGAAACTTAAGTTGATATGTCCATTTAGCTTACAAAGACAATGTGAGCCCTTTTTCACTTCCCTGTCCAAAAGTAATTAGTCTGTTGTATACAACTTTCCCAGTTAATGTAGTTGTATGACATGTTTTTCTAAAACATTCTCTTCTTTGGGAGTGACGTAGTCTGCTGGTTTTATCTTCTGTGGAATGGACCTGATGTTTGAGTCTTCCTTGCCATTGATGACTTGACTCAGCTTCCAATTTCGGCTGATTCTGCTCCACTGAATGCGAGATCTCAGGTCCATGATGACCTATTAAAGCTTCTGAGTCAAAATGGTGTTTAGGCCTTTTTAATTTGATATTGTGAAGGTGTTTTAGGCTTTAGTAACCAGCTTATTCTTTTGGTCCATTTGATGGTGGTGGATTACACAACATGGAAGAATTTTCTGTATGCCATCAGTCCGTCCCATAGATTGAACCCGAAAATTTCCACTTTGATTTGATGTGTAATGCTCGATTTGGATGGTTGTCTGTCCCTGAGCAGGTTTTCTGTTACTGTTAAATGATATCTTTAAACAAACCTTGCATAAAGTTGACCAAAATCATCTCTTAAGTCCAGCAAAAACACCAAGTCATTCCCATCACAACACAAGATTTACTCGGAATTACCTTCTCAAGTGCTTCTCGAAATATCGTATCTTTGACCAGCAAGACGGGAAATAACTAATAATGATATCAAGAGATTTGGAGCATTTGAGGTACTGCCCACGGCACTCTGTCTTCCACATTTACTAGGGTGATTGATATTTGACAACATAAAGGCAGAGGACCGCCTTGCTGACTGGTTTTGGTTGTATCGCAGTAACCTGCAACTTTTTCTGAATGTCTTCCTGACAATTTTCCCGCTGCCAACCAATCTAATAATTTCCCCTTAGGAAAAAACAAGGACCATAGACAATGCAATATACAAGTATTAGTATCAATTTTTATTCAGAAATTATATTTTTTATATATTTATATGCATCTAGTAACTTCCAACTACATTCGAACTTGTAACTTTTAATATTTAACATATATGGTAATCTCTTGAAATTTTGCACCCAGTGATTAACAGAAGTATTTACAAGCTGTTTGAAACTAAATATCCCCATTATGGATTGATTTATGGCATAATTCCTAAAGTTTGCTCCCAAAGAAAGACTGATAGAGGAATGAGCAAACAATCTGGGATCTCACTTCCTTACTTCATTTTCAAATCTACATTTCATAAAGGAAGTACACAAATACAAAACAACAACCTAACATCCCTTCAGTCACCATTTTCTCTCCATGATTTTTGCTCTTCAATAAGACAAACAGAAAGCCCTAATTAGGGCTAATATCCACAACCAGGTAACACCAGCCACCGTGCTGAGATATGGGCCCTTTTTATTTATTATCCTCCTCAAATTATTGAAACTGTTGTTTTAAGCCATTTATGGCACATGCATTTCTGATGTGAAGGAGGTTTGTTTACCACTCAACCTGGGGACAAATCTATTTTTGGTCCCTCACCTTATTACATTTGAAAGTTTTAATCTTTTATTTTATATTATAATATTTTTGGTCCTTTACCTTATTAGATTTGTAAGTTTTAACTTATCACTTTATATTTTAACACTTTTAGCCTCTCACTTATTAAAATTGAAGAAAATAGCCCACACTTTGTAACATTTTGTTAGTTTTGTTAATTAACTGTTAACTTTTTTAACTGACTATTAACTGACAAAAACTTTCTTTTAGCTACTAAAGTTAATAGAACTAACTTTATAATATTTCGTTTATTTTGTTAATTAATTATTATTTAACTATTGGTTGACAAAAATTTACTTTCTACTAGCAGAGTTAACAGACAATATAAAGTGAGAGTTATTTCTTTCGATTTTAATAAATGATGGATTAAAACCTATAAATCTAATAAAATAAGATGTTTAAAATATTATAATGTAAGATAATAAATTAAAACCTTCAAATTTGATAAGGTAAGGAATTAAAAGTAAATTTTTACCCTCAACTTGCAAGTTCCCCATAATTTGTGCCCATTTAGTTGTCCTATCAACTCCTTCCCAACCCAAAAGCGGGACATGATTGATAACTATTTGATTAGATGGCACAAGCTATGCACTTAACCATTTTCTGATTTTTCTTTTCCTAGTATAGGCCCCCGTGAAGAAAAGATGTATGCCTCTTTGGAATGTATTAAATTGTATTACCCAAAGTGTCTTTTAGTCCCCATGTTTTTTTGTTAATGGTATAGGAATCTCAATCCACATCCCCACTCTACATAATTTTTCAAAGCATTTTGACCATTCTTAGCTCCCATGGCATGATCTAATACATTATAGCACTGGTCAGATTTTAGCTAAATTTTAATCATCTCAGCATTGCAAAAATCTCGAAATCATTTTTGCGAAATTTTAATGCCCTTTCAAGTTGATATGTAGCTCTCAAAGGAAAATGGTCCTTTTGGATTGAAACTTGGAAAAGCATTAAGGGGTAACAAGTAACAACTAACAACCACTTTGCTTTCTCTTTCAAATGGTCCAAACAACATGGATTGACCTTGTCCTCTTCCCCAATCCCCACCTAACTGGCTTGCAAATTTCATCATTTTGGTCTCCCTTTTATTAATTTAGAAACTAGCTAAAGCTCGAGGAAGATGTCTATATTCCAAAAGAGAAGTCAGCCCATGTATCACCTTACCAAGATGGTTGAATCATTCAAGTTCGACCATTCTTTTCATTATAAAAATTCAATTAAATAAAACATGGGTCTCACTTTGAGTTGATTTGGCTTGCTAAATTATTTGTAAAAGTATATATATTCAATATAATCATGAAAGTTTTTGGAAGTTGCTCGACAGTGCCAACCCAGCAGTAGCAAAGTTAAACCCAAGAAGAAGAAGAAGAAAGGACGAGGAATGTGCAAGATTAATGAAGGCAATGGTTATGGCTACACCGCAATTTGTTAAGACCATACAATTTATTCAATTTTTATTTTAATTTGATTATTAAGAACAATTAGTAATTAATAAAATATTTAATATTTATTATTTAATGAATTAAAATTAATTTATAAATATATATTTTTAGACATTATAATTAATTGTTTAACAAAAAAAAACTATAAATTAATAAATAAATAAATAAATTGTGTGGCAATGAACACATCCTTTAATGAAGAGGGAGAAGAGGAAGCTAGAATTTGGATGTTTCATGTTTTCCTTCATTGTAAAGGAAGGAATTTGAAAAGACAAAGCCTCTGTTTTTGTAAGGAAACATAATCCCCTGTTCCCTCTGTATACAGCCTTTTAAAAATATTACTAACTTAGGACACATTATCACCTGTTTTCCTCTGTTTTTTTTTTTTTTGATCTGCCTCAGTGTACAACAAACAATTCAGAAAAATGAAAGAACAAAAATGACAAGATTCAAAAGTGATATTTTTTCTTGACTAATAACAGCAAAAAGGACACCGTACTAATCCGTTTTCATTACAATCAGGACATCGCTGGAATCCAGACTCACCTCCTTCCTCTTGTTCATCTTCCTCATCTCCTTCATGGAACACCTTACAGCTGCCGGAACAGGTTTCACAGGGGATAAATCGGATATCCCCACAAGCCTCACAAGCTGCACTGGGGCCTCCGCAGCCTTCATCCACTGTTTCACACACATCAAGGAGCTTCTCTAGCTGCCCTTCCTCGTGCAGTCCCCGTATCTCATCGGCTCCGCCGATGTATTTTTTCCCCAGGAACACTCTCGGCAAACCGCCGCTGAATGCATCTCCCATTAGCTCTTTCAGCTCCTCCTTGAAGCCGGAATGCATTGAGACGTCTCGCTCGTCCACCCGGATGCCTAAGCCTTTTAGGATCACCCTCACGTGGCAGCAATCCTCGTATGTTTTTCGGACCCCTCGGAGGCTGGTGAAATAGACGATCACCTTCTCCCTCCCGCCTTTCCAATCCGAAAGGAAACAGTTTCTTTTGGGTACTTTCTCATTCTCCGGCGGGGGCTGCCAGAGATGAAATGGGTTTTCCGAGTGAAGCTCCTCGAGGGATTTCTTGAACGATGAAATGACTTCCGGATCAAACTTCGGGATCGAATAATTCTGATCTTCATCGGCCATTTGAAGCCACATGGGTATCGGTGAAACCTTGCCATTCTCCGGACTTTTGGATTTCTGGTGATGGCATGGAAGTGGCACTGGATCCCCGACCACATCGAAAGAGAAACTCCGTAAATGACTCGGCGGTCGGAGAGGACTGATATCTTCTAGACCCTCCATCAATTCCCACGCGTTAATCGTCTCCGGCTCTCCGGGAGGTGTTCTCACCGGCGTTTTGGGCACAACTTTTGGGATTTTCTCCTCAATCATTTTCGACCAAACTTCCGCTTCAATCACCTCCACCGGCAACCCTTTTGCCTTCTCCGGATCCAATAGATCGCCATTCAGTTTACCATTCCCCTCGTGAATGATTCCCTTTTCCGCCACACTATACCTGCCGTTGATGTGATTGCTGTGATTGCTGTGATTGATTCTATCTAGCTTGAGCGACCCCAACGTGGACGACTTCAGCGCCACCACATGGTAGCCATCGGCACTGTTCTCCGCCGGGTCTTGGATGTGCGTTGAATTGCTCCTCGACAACGGGGAATAAGGCGCTTTGCAATGGCGGCACCGCCTTTCCTTGGAGGTGGCGCAACCCATTTCATCCGAAATACCACAAAATCACCCAAATTCAAATTACAAACGAAGAAAATCAAACCCACAAACCCAACAACAATCAAAATCAAGATGGGGTTTTTATAGATTCGATTAGGTGAATAAATTAAAAGAACATCCAGGTCAAATGAGCTGGATTTTGGGGTTTCGGTGTGAAGATTATATCAATAGAAGAGGGGAAATCACAGAATCTTGGAAACTTCTTCTGCAGGAAGAATCTGAGAAAGCACTATATACTACATTCTTCAGCTTCATTTACTTTATTTCTTTATTAAACCTGAACAGAGGAATTAATAAACAAAAGAAAACTGAAACACCCAGGTGAGATAAATTCAGTTAAGGTCTGCAAAGATATTGGGATTTGGGAATGAAAACTGAAAAAGGGAACAAGAACAATGGAAGAGAAAGGAAAGTAAACAAGGAAAAGGTAAGTCAAAGAAAGGAGGTGAGGGAACCAGAGAAATCAATCCCAGCAAAAGGAAGAATTTTTCTTGAGGGAGAAAGATGCAGACTCTCTGAAGGGATACTATAGAAAGAACATGAAGGGCTGCTAAGGGGGAAAGGGGATTTTTATTGGGGAATTTCATACATCTTTGCGTGTGTTTGACTTGGTGCATAAAAAAAAGGGGGATGGTGTCCCCTTTCTCTCTTTTTGTTTGTTGGTTTCATTTATGAAAATCAGAAAGATTTTACCACCACTCTATTTCAAAAAATAAAAGCATTTCTAAGAGGGAAAAAAAGGGAGAAGGAAAAATTAGGCTACAATAAAAATATTAAGATATTTAAAAATTATTATATAATAAATTTAATAAATTTAAAGAGTTTTTACAACATTATGATTTTTTCTTTTTCTTAAACAGAAGTTACACATATTAAGAAAATTAATTACTACTAACTTTAATTAAAATAATATTGTAAAAGATTCATCTTTCTAAATTACTCTTTTTAAGATTTACCACATAGTTTATTTTAAACAATAATGATATCAACATTTAATAATTAGTGAGGTAAAATTGGAAAAAAAGAATTAATTATGCATTAGTTTTTTTTCAAAGGGAAATGATTTTAGAATAATTTTTTTGTATCACCTTTTGGTATAATTTAACGTATTATTTAAATGATTGATTTTTTTAATTCATGTGAGACTTGTAATATTGAATGCATCCAATCATTTAATGATAAGTGAAAATTGTATAAAAAAATTATATAAAAATGTTATCTCTATAGCACTTTTTTTTTTTCATAATGAAAAATAATTTAAACAAAATTTTTCTCTAAAATATTGTTTATTTTGAAATAGATGGAATAATTAGAGAGAATATGAAATACATCTAGTAAATGGAAATTAAAAAAGCTAGTAGAAAATTGACTAGATTTAACAAAAATTTAAGACTTTGATTGGTTAGTTGATATTTGTAATTCTAAATTAATAGTTGATAAACCATTGTTAGGTTTTGCCTGTTTGAACCATTGTTAGTTAATAATTGGTAAATAAG